CATTCACTGCAGAGGATCCATTGGTGAGCAAGTGATGGAATGCTACATTTCTCCAGACCTTATGAAGAAACAAACTCACCTATATCTTAGATGACCTGAGAGTGAGTCCATTTTCAGCAAATTTTTATTCTAGGGTGAATAATTCCTTTAAGGTTCTCAAAACCCCAGTCAAATTCTTCTCTAACTCTTATTATGTCCTTGCAGTATTCTCCAAACATGACCATGAGTGTGTGAAGACCTCATTTGGAAATCCAGGTGGATTCCACCACATGACATGGAACTTGTGCGAGCGCGCTGTAGCCAGCCCTCTTCTGCTCTCTGAAGAATATGGGTCCAAGCCTCTCCTTTCTCTCACCTTCCTTCGTTTCCTTTTTTCTTCCAACATCATTCTTTCACCTACTCGGTCGCGTCACACCGAGAGACGAAGCTGAACCACGTTGGGGCGAGAACGACGATTCAACAACCTGTCTATATTTACGTATATCTTCGTGTATATATGTGGGTGTACATTCAAAGTTACATGTGCATGTGTATGAAAGGACATATATTGATCCTAGAAAGAAAGACGATGGACTTGAACTGTTTTTAACGTAAACAAAAATCATATTTTCTTGAAATATGATGTAAATCGACAGATCTATGTAAACGGATTTATCGCAGTAAACACTTATTAAGATGCAGGGGGGGGGGGTCGAGTTCGTAAAATGACATAATCGCAATGCTAAAAATCAATTACGACGAGAGAGTTTGATTTATATTTTATTGAAACAGGTAGAGTTGTCACAAACAGAAATGTGTTTGTAATTCCAACTGACGTCTGTAATTTATCATTTCCAACTGCATTTGGCCTTCACACGTCTGTGCTCCTCCAATGCAGCCCCATCTGATCAGCACCCTGGAGGTTTTGTTTGTATATACAGGAGATTTATTTTTCAGGACGATGCCTACGAAGAACAGCCATTCCATATGTATACTTAAAAAAAATCCAACTCTCCGAAACTGAACTGAGATCGTCGCACTAGCTTCAGTTACCGTAGAATATTTCTGTCATGTTTTGAAAACACTCCTAATCATGTGACGTACACAGATACAGCGTTTACTTCTCTTATATTACGTTTTCTTTGTAAAAAAATCTTTGCATGTGAATATGGGAAGGAAGAAAGATTTTATGGAAAAAGGAAACTGGTCCTTTCAGAGGAAGGGCACATGGGTGGGAATTATAATTCCGTACATCTGTCATTCTAATAATCAACTTATTTATACAGCCATTGTTGTGTCACCCGGAGAAACTGTGATTTGCTTTGTTTTGTTTTTTTTTGTTTTATTTCAAGTGGAATTATTATTATTATTAATATTATTATTGTGGAATTTCTAAAATATATATGTGAATTTTTTTATAGCTTGGGGATCTGATTCATCTGTGTCTCTGTGAATTATTTAAAACAATACTGTACAATACCTGAGCTGTTTTCGTGTTTATTTGTAATAACATTTGCCCCTGATTTTTTTCCTGACTTGGAGAGAGACCCCATCATGAGTGTACAACATTTTCATTTGATTTACTTGATGTTTGATTTTGTGAAGTGTTTATTTTCTACCTTGTGTTGACTTTTGTAAATACACAGAGAAGTTTTGGATATCCTATACTGATATAAAGCTTCTTATTGCTGTTTAACAGATTGTCAAATCATTTTGCTTGTTTGTTTTTTTTTATGTGCTAAACTAGTGTTCATTGACAAATTTTTCTGTTTACACAAGATAAAATATGTACACATTTTAGCTTTTATAATATATAGATTAACATTTTATAATATTTATGTGCAAATGATTAAGGTTTAGCAAGATTCGCCAGATCATTAGTCAATTATCTATAAACTATCTATAAAAATATTATAAAATACAATTTACACTAAAGTCACTGATATCATAATGGAAACCAATCAGCCTCCTGTTTGTTTGCTGACCCCTTAACTATCTTAACTACCATTAACTAAGCGTCTGTTTTGTGGTTGAAAAGACAACTCCACTATCTTTATATATATATATATATATATATATTACTGTATAGACACCACCTTATGTTTTGACTTTCTTTAAAGGGAAAACAAGTTGGTGTGATTGTTGCTATTTTGTTGATTTGATTTAATCAGTTCGGTAGAATTTAATTGTGTATTATGTATTATTGCTAATTGGTTACTAGTCATACAATTTTAGATCAGTTCAGGCCCGTTCACTCCAACCATAAAGTTAAAAAAATTGCTCAATAGCCCATTCTCACCAAGAACGATAAGGTTTTAGTAATTGTTTTTATTCTGTGAGAATAGTGAAGTCTTATTATAAATGAAACGCTCGAGCTCTTGGTTGGGTTCTTTTGTTTTTATTGTTCATCAGCTGGAAAGAAATTGCTCTGAAAGTGATTATCGCGGTATTGTTCCTCTGTGTCCTTACAGCTTTCCATAGGCTTTCCAATTCTCATAGAATTAGAATGATTATTAAATCTTTATAGTTATCGTCTTTGGTGTGAATGAGCCTTTTTCATAACACTTGGTGTTGTTGGTGTAAAAACAAGACCTTAACTCTAAATAGCAAAAGTCCACAACATTCAGAGCGAGTTTTTCAGGGTGATAAAAATATTGACGGCCAATCAAAATAAATCCGAATTTAAACACTCGCTGCAGTTTTTGACTGAACACTGAACTGAACACTGAACGTCGTCGGTGTAAATTGGACTTTTTTGTTTGCTGTTTTGGTGCACCAGAGCTCCTCAATTCTGCCACCTTACATTACGTCCGTCAACACTCAGCAGCTTTATGACTCTCTCACATAAAACAAGTTAATTAACACACATGGCGATTACATCACAATCTATGTGTTGTAACAGCAACTGCACAGGTGTGTGTGTGTGTGTGTGTGTGTCCTGCAGCTTGCAGTAGTTCAGGTATTCAGCTTGGCTGTTTGGTGAACGTCACATGGTCCCACAGAACGTCCAAGTTGGCCAGAGTTGAGGTCACCTGGCAACGGCCTTGAAAAGAGAGAGACGAGCTGACCTTCCGTTATTTCTACTCTCCACATCTCTGAACGAGCCCCCATGGATCAGAACTGTTCAAGAGGAATGTCAGACACGGACGGATCCTGCAACAAGGCACGGAAGAAAGAGTCCAGCCTGGTAGAGGTGCAGATGTGCCAGTCTGTCCTGCCCTGCCATGCAAACCACCAGGAAGAACTGGGTGCGGGACAGCTGCTGAAGTGGATGGACACTACCGCCTGTCTGGCAGGTGAGTGGGACTGTGTGCTGTAGATGCAGATGTGGGATGGAGTTGGTGACCAGATAGTTGCTTGTTTGATTCCCTTAACAAATGTATTGAAAGGTTACATCATGACCTTTCATCTGTCACATTAACATTTGTAAGATTTATTTCAAATGAAAAAGTGTTCGGTTTAATAAACTAATGTTGTCAATGAATAATAATGGATAATTGGATATGCCTATTTGCTGGGGAATTTTTGGATGCAGTAATTCATTTCGATTTGTATGCTAACTAATGTTGCTTTTTATTTTGAAGTAGGCTAAAAAGTGAGATTATTGGTATAAAATGCCCCTTTCAGAACTAGGACAGAAGATCACCTGTGGCATCTTGTTGGTGTTTTAATTTTTTTTTTATTTAATAAATTCAGTTCATATATAATATTTCATTGTTCATCACAACCTGTAGGCCAGTTGAGTGGAATCATTGTCTAAAGGCATAGTTTGTTGCTATTATGACATCAGTTTAATTAAAAACATAAGACTGCATAGAAGTAATAGAATTACAGTATATAGTGCAATTCAGATTCTGTAATTCAGGGGTTCTGTTGAGTTTGATTTCCCCCTGATTATTATAAGTAAATTATTAAATGTGAAAATTACGTTTAAATATTATCATTATAAAATTATTATACCTTTTTACATGTCTAAATTATTAACTAATTATCTAAAATATTAAATATTAAAATAATTGAATTTATAAATAAATTGTCAAAACATTTAGATATAAAATATTTGATTTACTATTTTAAGTCAAGTTTATTTGTATAACGCTTTATGCAATTCAAAATGCTTCAAAGTAAAATCAGTGCGAGTGTCACAAAATTCAGCTTCAGGAATCGATAGTGTCAATAAAGACAACTTTTTCAAAATATAATCATTAAAAATATGTTTACTTCACTGGTCTATGTAAGGCGGTCGTCTAATAATCCTATAGTAGTGGGACAAGATTGCCCCCTTTCATGGTTTTGTGTAGTAACAACAACTAAAACAGCAAATGTTCATTTATTTCCCTTAGTAATATGCATCATCATCCTGTACATACCAAAGATTAAAATATGTAACTATTGAGCAGTAAATGATAAATTGCTTAAATATCCTATGCTGTAAATACATTTGGATGAAAGAGTCTTCTTAATGACTACTTAGTCTTGCCAATGACACGGTGATCTTTAATAAATTGCAAAAACAAGAACGCCGAAACCTCGGCTGACCTGCAGAAGCAGTAAAAATGTCCTTTTTCCAAAACAACCTAGTGTATTATCAGCCCATCAGAGCAGGTTCAGATAAGCAGTCACCTTTGGACTATGAAGGAGGAAGGTAACTAGCATCCATCTACCTTTTACCCACAAATCTGGTGTGAATCCATATTTCTCCGCCACTGAAGAAAAGAGGCTTGAGGAAGGCACACATCAATGATTTACATGTGTCCTCTCTGATAGTAGACGCTCCATCTCCTTCCTGTTTCTGCTCCAGTTAGACACATGAAATATAAATAACAGTGACAAGCAAATATGAACAATAAGTGTGTACCCATCTTTGATGGTTCATATAGTGGTTCATGCTATAAATCTCAGTCTTTTTTCTTCATTTCTTCCTTCAAGCTGAAAGACATGCAGGAATGGCGTGTGTAACGGCTTCCATGGATGATATCCAGTTTGAAGAGACTGTAAGGTACTAGAATGTGTCCTTTATCACTTAAAGGAAAATTTACTCACCATCTTGCCATCCAAGGTGTAGATGAGTTTGTTTCTTCATTGGAACAGATTTGGAGAAAGTTAGCATTACATCACTTGCTCATTAATGGATCCTCTGCAGTGAATGGGTGCCGTCAGAATGAGAGTCCAAACAGATGATAAAAACATTATAATAATACATAAACAACCCATAGTTTGGCCAGAAGCAATGGTTAAAACATCTTCATGATGGATTTTGTTTACAAGCATGCAGTAACATGTTAACTGATGGACTGGAGTGGTGTGGATTACTTGTGGATTATTGTGATGTTTTTATCAGCTGTTTGGACTCTCATTCTGATGGCACCCATTCACTGCAGAGGATCCATTAATGAGCAAGTAATGTAACGCTAAATTTCTCCAAATCTGTTCTGATGAGGAAACAAACTCATCTACATTTTGTATGGTCTGATGAGTACATGGTTTGGTTTTCATTTTTGGGTGAACTATTCCTTTAACTTGACTTATCCGAGTAGAACATCCTTGTCTAAGGTTATGTTTAGCGAATGCTGGATCAAGTCCTTCTGGAGTACCTCATGTTGTGTGATAAATTGATCTGTTATCATATCATATCTCTCTGTATTTCAGGGTTGGGCAGGTTATCAATATCAAAGCCAGAGTGAACAGGGCTTTCAACACGAGTATGGAGGTAATACAAGACGAAACACATTTACAGTATTAAATATTAACGAAATAACTATAATGCCTTCCTGTGTCTGATCCGGTCACTGTTTTATCAGGTAGGCATCTATGTAACAGTACAGGAGGTGCTCAGTGGAGTGACGAAGAGGGTTTGCGTGGCCTTCTCCACGTTTGTCGCCAAACCAACAGGAACACACAAGGTGAGGAAACGTCTCTGTCAAGATGGTACCCTAGAATTTGGGTTCCCACTCAAATCTAAATTTTACACTACTGATCAAAAGTTTTGGGTCTGTAAGAGCAAGGGTGCATTAAACTGATCAAAAGTGACTAAAGAAATGTTATAATATCACAAACGTTTTCTATTTCAAATAAATACCAACCTTTTGAAATGTATATATTTATCAAAAAATCCTGGAAAAAAGTATCCCAGTTATCACAAAAACATTAAGCAGCACAACTGTTTTCAACGTTGATAATAATAAGAGATGTTTATTGAGCAGCAAATCAGCATATTAGAATGATTTCTGAAGGATCGTGTGACACTGAAGACTGGAGTAATGATGCTGAAAATTCAGCTTTGATCACAGGAGTAAATTACATTTTAAAATATATTCAAATAGAAAACAGTTATTTTACATTGCAATAATATTTCACAACATTATTGGTTTTACAGTATTTTTTAATCAAATAAATGCTGCCTTGGTGAGCAGAAGAGACTTCTTTTCAAACAAATTCAAAAATTGGGTTTATATTGGGTATATAAGCCCAATATGTGTTGTTTCATGTAAATGCTGCAATCAGCATGATTTAAATATTTTAATTTAATATGGATATCAGCACTTGTTGTATCATTTTTATGAACATTACTGTCATGTGCAATGGTAGCTGCAGATACTCATTAAATCCATCTTTAAAATCCAGAATATTACTTTAAAATGTCAAGTAAAAATCTTAACGTGTCACATTTGATTTATTCGTTTTAATGATCAATAT